CTTCTAAATTGCTGCTTAGCTAAGCAGGAAAGGTGGAATTCTTATAATATGTCCCATCAGCCTCTCCTTCCAGCCCTTTAAAACTGTGTTATGATTCTTTGAAGTCTTTTCTATTAGTCTACATTATTCAGAGGCTGTGGTGTGTGTAAGTACCTGCAAGGAGCACAGGTGCAATCTTTATGCCAATCTCAAGAAGAAAGAAGAGAGACATCAAGTAGCATAGAGTGTCATGGGGCCAACCCATTAATGCTGGGTGTTCCATGTTCATTAGCATGGAAGAGTGCAGAAAGGTTAGAGACTTACCAGAGAATATCTGCAGTGCAAGTTACTGAAGGGGTGTACAGATGTCCAACTTCCAGAAAAAATATGGGTGAAAAGCTGGAGGAATAGGAAGAAGAGAAGGGAAGGGGAAGGAGAAGGGGAAGAGGAAGGAGAAGGGGAAGGGGAAGGGGAAGGGGAAGGGAAAAGAGAAGAATACCATAAAGAGAAGTGAAAATGTCACTACTAGTTTCCACCTTGAAGTGATGGTGGTACTGGGCAGTTTATTGCCTTGGGTGTGTCTGAGCTCAGGACCAGTCGAGGTACAGCTAAATATAGTGTGCTTGTGCAAAACTCAGTAACACTATTAAACATTTTCATAATTTTCTAAGCAAAGCAGGTAGAAAGTGTTTCTAAGCCCCATTATTACCCAGATCACCTTTGAAGGGTGGTTCCCCATTACATTTCCAGATATTGCCCTCAAGGAGTGGCTCCATTTCCCATTGTGTGATCAAATTTCACAATCTGCTGTGAAACTGCCAGCTCAGCACCTGCTGTACTTAGGTGTGATTTCCAATGCAGCTCTTCATTTTGGAGTTGACACTAAGTTTGTTTTACATAGGAGTTGTGAGTGATAAATTTGGTAATGAGAAGGGGATGTCTGCCTTTTTGCCTGCCTGGTCTAAGAAGCAAGTGCTCTACAAAACCACAAAATACAGGTTTCCCACAGTATGTGCCAGTGAGTAAGTGGGTGACTCGCAGTCACCTCCTCCATTCTCCCTGGAGTTATGGTGCTGTCTTGCCTTGCCTTGCCCAGGCACACGAGCACACACACAACTTCTACAGGCACATACATGTACACCAAAGAGAATATGAAGGACTTACCCCGGTAAACACACACATTTCTACGACCACACCGTAAAACCAGATGAGTTTTAAGCAGGCTAATGAAAATCCGCTTCCACTTGGGAAAGACACTTCATCATAAACACTTTGGCAGCAATTTGTAAAGGTGGCACGTAAGTGATGCAAGGGGCACTGGAATCATAAACAGACTTAACAGGACACATGGCAATTTAAAAACCAAAGCAGGATAAAGCCAGCACATCTTTCTAATCCTCAAATTCGTTTGGAGAAACTAAAAATTTGCTCCCAGTCACTTAAAAGGTATTAAAATGAACTTTAAGGAAGTTTTTGTTGTATAGCACTGACATATGAAATATGTCCAGATATTACCATTTAATTCCTAAACTTTCATTAATAATAAAAATAAATAAATAAAAAATACTAAACTTTCATTAATAATAAAAAAATAAATTAATTAAAAATAAGTTGAAGGACAACTTATCATAAAATGAATAGAAAATAATTAATTCTCAAAAAGTTGACAATTATTTTCAGAAAACCAAATACAAACCAACAGAAACATAAGGTTCTGTGTTTTATCCAATAGTCAGCAGCATGTGTGTAGCTATGGACCTTTCTCCAGGGGCTGTAAGAGGAGTTCCAGTCATGTCTTTGGAGGAAATTCCTCCCTTGGATAACTATGGCATGTTGGCAGCAGTGTGAATCTTAGTGCAAAACTCCAGCTCTCTCCATTTGGCTTATTTTATTCTAGGAATACAACTCTTTGCTCTCAATTAACACATTGGGTTAAGTGTTCGCAAAGGTAGAAACAGAGTTTAAACTTTCTGCAGTGATGAATAACTAAAGAACAGAAAACAGAAGGACAAGGACTTGAGAAATGAGTAACTTGAAATCATCCAGGAACTTCGCAACCCTCAATTTTTTTTCCAACATGGGACCAATAAAACTATTTACAACTTGATTCATTGAACTTTATGGTTTGAGTTAGTAGTGACCAAGGTGCCAAAGTCTGGAAATGAAGTGGTTTGAATGTACTAATCACCTGGTGTCCAAACTAACAACTGTTTAATAGAACTTAATCACTACTGTCAATGCTGTGCATTTTCTCCTATTAAGGAAATATTTAATACTATTTATCCTTTAATCATAATAACAGACCGAAACCATCCAGGTGCCATCCAGGAGGTGCAGGTTCCCTCACCACATGTCATTTAGTGGCTGCAGACACTGCACCAGGGCATGCCCAGGGTCCCCAAATCCAGGCCAAGCACCTGGTCTGGTGTTGATTTTCCTTGCACAACTCCCTTAAATATCTAAAGGGGAAGGAATGGAACAAGTGAACACTTTTCAAAGGCAGCACAGGACAGCAGAGCTGAAAAATAAATAAAATTGATTTAAATTGCCAAAAAGGGAAAAAAACAAACAAGCAAACAAACCAACAACCCAAAGTATGAACTAGTTTGAAAATAGAGAAGGAATGGAATGGTTAGTTCAAGGGTTCAATCCTTATTCAAGGTTTCAACTTTTATATATTGTTATGAATTATTTAGATCAGACCAGATGCAACTGCTTCAAGGCTCAGAGCTTGTATGCCTGTGCAAGGTATCTGTGATATAGCATTAATCATGACTGCTTTTAGTTGGCGTTGCACTTGAAATATTAATTATGGTCATCTAAAACATCAAAAATTTACTCTGCTTCAAGTTTATGTCATTCAGCCAACTTCAGGTTAGTATTAAGGCGCTCCTGCCAACCTAGCAGCACTAGAGGAATCTCCTCACTTCCCTTGATCCCTGTCCAGTCCATGAGAAGCAGAACAACTTCAGGTTTTCCCAATACCTGCCACTAGGACCTAGGGCTTTCCACTCTTTGGAAGGGAGTGGAAAGCTCTAGGATGCCCAATCTCAGTAATTTTACTGATTACAGAGCTTGTAATTTCTTTCTATAAAGCAAAAGGAGAAGTGGTCAGAGCTGTCCATGAAACTAATGTCTATATTAATATGGAATTGCACAATGTGAGATGAGCAAGGTATGTGGAGAAGGAGAATACAGTGTTGTTACAGTTAACTGTTACTGCACCAGTTTTCCCAGTTGCCCATCAAGGGGATCTTAGGCAGTGAGTACTGGTTATTCTGAGGCAGTTGTAGTGCCTGCAAAGGGAATGTCACATTTCCCTCTTTGCTCTAGGACTCTCCTGATGAGACTTGCCAGAAAACTGAAAAAGGATCCTCTTTATTTTTGAGATGTCTGTCACCCTGAAGGGAGTCTGAATTTTCCTCCTTGTTCTTACCTCTGGCAATATCATTCCTGCTACATGAAACATGCAATCATAAATCACTTGTCTGCATTGCAGATAACGCAGTTGTACAATGTGAGCTTCCTCACACCTGTGCTTTTGCTTTCCTCCTTAGACCTAAGCAAGTGGCATTGTGGTATTGAGAGCTACAACTGGCACTGAAGAAATAATACTACTTAACCAATCTTAAATAAGCTTTGTCATTCCTTTAGTGTTACAGCTTTAGCATCCAGGCTCCCTAGAAGACAGCAACGTCATCAGAATCAGTTCTGATGACTTTTAGAGACTTAAAAATGAAGAGACAATATTTTATTCCTCTAATTATTGGCAAAAGCCAATGACCACAGCTAGCATTACCCTTCTTCTGAATAGCCACAAAAGGTCAGTGAACGGCACAGAAAAAACAAGCTCCACTTTCATGCTCATGCATCGTCCCTAATTTAAGGTGCTCTGGCAGTTGATAGAATATATATGGTGTATGGACAGAAGAAAAATAAATTTCTGAAATATATTTAGAAAAGACTGAAGTAGAGATGCAAGAGGGGCAGGTTCTGACTGTGTTCTGGCTCCAGAAAATAAAGTTCTTCTCCCCACTGAGCACAAACGCTGTGGAAGTGCAGGAGTTCATACTGTAGATTTCTATATTTTGGCAGAGATACTATAAAGTTTAAAAAAAAAACCAAACAAAAAAACCCAAACAACACTAAACATGCAGCTTATTAGCCTAGAAGAAAAATCTTTGGTCTGTTTACACAGTAACCACACACCTGTATCTCAGAAATATGAGACAAGTGATGAGGAAAGGGGAGGGGACTGACATCTTTATTTTCCTCTGCACCAGGTGCAGTCAGGTCTGTAATATCTCTCCAGCCTCTATTTTGACTCAGTGCCACTGTTGGCCTACTGTACCTGCTGAACAGCCCCTGCAGGGAATGACTCCAAAACATGCCCATGCTCTCTGCTCCAGCAAGATCCGTTTTTACCTGGAGCCCTGGCGGGTGCATACATAAGTCAGCCAAACCCTGAGCCCATCCTAGCACAGCTGCAGTTCCTCCAAGTCACAGAAAGATAAAAACACTAAATCTTGTACAAAACAGTTGTATGAATTAATTTTCCTTACCAGACACTGCACTCAATTTCCTGTTGCTGCCAGTTTATGTCCCATTTTTATGGGACATAACTGTGGCATTAAGGAAATTTGTCCTATCACAAGGCAGTTGTATCATAAAACATCAAGGTAAGGGACAGAGCTGAGTAGTGTCCCATCTCCTTAGTTCCTCAAACTAAAGTACAACACAGTAAAATCCTTTTGCATTAACCACAACAAGTGTGTGTGTCTGGTTCTCATGAATACAACTGCTTGATATTCCTGTGCAAATGGAAAAGAAGAAAAGAGGGATATAAATATTAAATTTAAAATAATATATTATTATATATTATATAAATTCTTGTATTATATATTATATTAAAAGAATTTTTTTAAGGATAAATGATTTTGTATCATGAGAATAAGATGTTTCATGTTTGAGACAGTGGCCACATGACTAAGAACAAGGTAGGTGCTAT